ATGATATGTATAGTTGTCGGAATTAGATTGAGAAGGATGGAGACGGATTCTTATGAACGAGTAACAAACACGTCTTTATTGAACAAGGAATGGTACAGAAGTGAACGTGATGTGCAGGCACACTATCAACTATATACATTTAAGAATTGCCAGAGATGGCTCTGCAATACATAGCAATTAATATAAATATAATTTTTATGGACGTTAAATAGTAAATGGTTTTTAGTAGGTCCACTGCTTATTTAAACTCAACGGTTTGTGCAATATCTGCTATTGGTCTAGATTCGACCAATCTTGTCGCGACATGAGTCAGCGATGACGTTTTAACGAATTATACGAGTTTCTTTTAGCGTGTTTATATGAATACGGTTGCATTTTTTTTTTTTCGCCGTTATATACGAATCCGAATTATATGAACCTGTTTTATAGGGGGTATACTGTAGATATATCAAAGAAGTGACAAGAATATCTATGCAATGGTTGCTTATTCTCAACAATGTTGAAAGGTTGTTTCTCATATGGATAAATGAAAAGCATTTGCAATGCGACGCTATTAACGAGAACATCATTTGTGAGAAGGTGAAAGTGATTTTCGCTGATCTCATTAATTTAAGAAGACGTCAGGCTCATCAGTGGTCGAAGAAGAAGTATTTAAGGAAAGCTGTAGGTGGTTCGAGAAGTTTAAGAGAAGAACTGGCATCCATAACATTGTAAGGCATGGTGAAGCAGCAAGCTCCAAAACAAGCTCCAACAGGCAGCAGAGACCTTCATCAGCGACTTCAAGAAGCTTGTAGATTCTGATGGTTACCTGCCGCAACAGATTTTTAATTGTGATGAAATGGGTCTCTTCTGGAAAAGGATGCTGAAGCAAATCTATATAACAGCAGAGGAGAATGCATTGCCTGGCCACAAGCCAATGAAAGACTGTCTTACACTGCTATTTTGTGCCAATTGCAAGCAGCGATTTGAAAATGAAACGGCTACTTGTTTACCATTCAGAAACTCCACTGGCCACAAGTCTTAAAGAAATGTAAAGTCCAGAAAAGCAGGCTAAATGTGATGTGGAGGTCCAACAACAAGTTGGACCTCCACATCACATTTAGCCTGCTGGTTGGTTGACACATGATCTTTTTACTGATTGGATCAATGAAGTGTTTGGTCCTTCTGTGAAAAAATATTTACTTCAGATGAATCTGCCACTCCATGTCTTGCTTGTTATGGACAACATCCTCCAGACCTACAAGATGATCTCTTTGAAGAATTTATCAACATCCAGTATCTGCTTCCCAACACTACTTTGTTACTAGCAGGTTATTTCTAACTTTGCGAAGCTCTACAGTAAAGCTCTTTTTGAGCATTGTTTTGATGTAACTGAAGGACCAATCTCACTCTCAGAGTTTTGGAAATATCTCTTCCACATCCTTGCTTGCGTCAAGATGATCAGGAAGATGTTACCAAGAGAATCCTCACTTCTGTATGGAAGAAGCTTTGACCATAGAGCATTGTTGAATGTGACTTTGAGAGGTTTGAGACAGTATCTGTGGAGCCTGTAGTCAATGAGATTGTGTCTTCGGCCTGGATCATGGAAATGGAGGTGGATAACAATGATATCGATGAGCTTGTGGAAGAGCACAGCCAAGAGCTGACACCGAAGAGCTTATGGAGTTGCATTGTGTTGTGGAGAGTGTCAGAGGAGCAAAACAACTATCTTCTGGCAAAATAGGAATTGTTGACTGAATTTTGATATTTTATGCAGATAAAGGTCTAGCTTAATGATATAAATGAATAAGATAGGTCAGGAATAGGCAACCTGTGGTCCTCATTAATATTTTTTATGGCAGGCGTCGCATAAAATATGAATAAATATATCAGTTTCGTAGCTTAAGGAAGCATGCAGCAAAGATTCAAACATTATTTTCTACAACTTATGTATGGGAATAGTTTTTCCCACAATGAATTTAGTAAAAATTAAAACAAGAAACCAGCTAACAAACTCAAATCGAAACTAATTTAAAACTAGCAGTGACTAATATTCAACCAAATATTTTTGATGTATTAACTTTAAATCAGTTCCAGAAGCTAAATTAAATATACCTATGCTAATTTATAATTATACATGAATTAATAAATGTGATTTACCAGCATTTTTTCCTCTTGTATGCAGCCTGTGTCAGTTCAAAAGTTTTGAAATGTGGCCCTTACATAGAAAAAGGTTGCTCATCCTTGAGATAGGTGATGAACTGGAAAAAAACAGTGGTTTTATATATTTTATACTATAATAGAAACCAATTTATTGGTCTGCTAAAGAACTATTGAACAAAGTACCTTAAAATGAGAATGTTATAAAACATAGTCTTTTTATTGTGGAAGTTAAGATGCACAAAAGTAAATACTGTAATTTCATGCAAATAATTTATGGACTGGATTTAAGAGTTAGTTTGGAAACATATGCAGGGTATCTGCAAATTTTAAATTGTATTAAGAACTCACCAAACAGCTTTTATTTTGTCAAAACTTATGGAAAGAATTTTTAAAAAAAGTGAAAAATTGTTTGTCTAATAGACATATTTATCTTTTTTTAAATTTTTTTTTTTTTCAAAATTACTAAAGGCAAATATGTTTAGCTTGTAGTTCTCTTGTTTATTTTATACATGCAAACTTATACTTTAATTGATATTAAACTATGCATTTGAGAGACACACTCAGAGAACTGTTGAAAAATTTGACTATCAATTTTGTTTGTGTTAGTTCTTTACAGCAAAGAAGAGTGAAGAGTTGACTCAAATTTGCATTGTTGGATATTATAGTCTTCAATATTTTAGTAAAATTAACAGTGAAGATGTTAATAGCAATTATTTTATTCATATTTATAACTAACTCTACATCTTGTCTAACTCTATATTCCTCTAAGGCCATACCAACTTTGTTGCTATTTCAAACTTGATCCCAGATTAGGCTCTTCAATGATCAAGTATACATTAAAATAAAAAATTATATATAAAATTACTTTAATATTATTTTAGCATTTATTATCATCATTATCATACATTTTATTTTTATTATTTGTTAAGTAAAACAGAAATGAAGTAGAATAAGGCCAAGACTCCACTAGCGTAAAAACGGGTGTAAAAACCTTCGCTCTAAAAACTTTTAATCACGTGATCTATTTGCATCTGCGTCTGGATTGCGGTGGAGGTCCAGTTAGCGAAGTTTTTATGGCGACGCGACAGTACTATCGAAGTTATAAAGACAATGATTATATTCTACGAGTTTTTTCTGTAATATAATTACAAATGTAGTAAAAATAATATCTTTACTTTCATATATTAACTTTTATTATCGTATTATTAATTAAGATAATATACGGCACTTATAAGCTTAGCTTTTTTCATTACATACTCCTATAAATTGAAGGGTTTTCTTTTGGCCGTCCATAATGCGTGTTTTAGGCATCCATTATTATAATCGGGATACTTCTTATCATAAATACATGAATACTTTTGGATGTTTTCGATAAAACTTTTCAGATCTATTCTAGAGTAGCCACAAGGGAACGTACACAAAAGCTTGTTTTCTGCAATTTTCGCATCATGTTGCAATGACCTAGATTTCACTGACTTCTGATTGGTGGATGGTAATGTTTTATGGCCGTATTTGCGTCGAAAGTTGAACACTGCTCAACTCACTTTTTACACTGGTTTTATGATCTGCTCGGGCGTAAAATATCAGGGTTACCTGATTAAAAGCTTTTACTGCGAGGGTTTTTATGCTAGTGGAGTCTCTGCCTAATGATAAACTTTGGGTGTTAGGCAGTGATTTGTATTTTTAGCATGCAGTTTAGGAGATTCTGTCTTATATATTGTTTCACTCATTTTATAAATACATCTACAATGAACTGCTAATGAAAATAAAATGAAAGAAATATGAGGAAAAGCAATGTTTGAGGTGCTATCTTTTGAATTGCATACTAATTAATTGTCATATTTTCAACCACCATTCTGAGATGAAGGTATATGGTAATGCAAGTAATGTGCAAGTTTTATTTTCATTCTAGTAAATTTTGTGTGGTATATTAATTTGAAATTTGAAAAATCTGTAGTACTCAATATCAAAACTATGAAAAATCTATAACATTTGACATTGCTGATTGAAGATTATAGAAATTATACATTGATAATATAACAATTAAGAAGAATATGAAATATATTTTAATTTATATTACTTGAAATTTAAAATAAACAGTTGGAGGGTTAAGTTTTTCTGCATTTCAGAATAATAATAGTAATAGTAATAAACATTTCAAAATTAGCATAGTTTGTTTAATTGGTGATGAAGTATTGCATTCAAGTTTATTTTTTGATCTGTTTAATTAACAAATAAAATAGTTGAATTATAAGAACATTATTTTTACTTCTATTAAAAAAAATAAATAAAATTAAGAAATAAATCCACTAAAATATTAATGATTACAGAGTGAACTGTGCCTTTTTTGTTTTGTTTTTTATAAAATAAAAGCTTCCCTGTCATTTACACACAATCTTTACAGTAAAGATTGTGTTGAAATTGATAAACAAAGGGTAACTTCTAATTAAGTCGAACAGTTCTTAAGTGAAAGTACCCATATAAGAGATGGGAATTAATGAGAACTACAGTTTAACCCTCAAGTTCTTGTTAATTCTTATCTTTTACATTGGTATGTTCACTTAGAAGCTGTTGAATAAAAATAAAAGCTATTTTAATTAATTTTAAATCTCAAAATTTTTATTTTAAAACCATTGTAAATATTTTAAAGTTCAATTTATTAATAATAAATTTTCAAAATGTAAAATAATTTAAAAGTTTATATTAAATTTTAAATAAAAGCTAATTTTTTATTTAAAAAAACTAAATGAAATGAAGACTAAATGAATAAATGTATTTTTCTTTTTTAAAATTAATATTACTATTTCACAGAATAAATCAGGTATATTTGGTAATTGGGCTATTTGAACTTGTTACAGTACAAGTCTCTAACAATATTGTTGAAAGTATCAAATAGGAGTAAAGTATATGAATTTAGAAGACTTGCTACATTGGTTTGATTAAATGCTATTTTGTTTCTGAAATTTAACATTATATAATTGATACCTATTCTGTAATGTTTGATCTAAGATAAAATACTGTGTATACAGAAAATAACATTGTACCTAAGCTGATGAATATTTTCTTAAAAGTATGTATGTTATATAGACTATATCTAATAAGTTTGATCTTATGTAAGTTCAAACTTATTAGTAAGGGATGTGAGGTAAAATTTTTTTAATATGCTAAATATAGTAATTTCTAAATCAGAAACTATATGCATTTAATATTAATAAAAAATGTATTATGAACTAGATTACCCATAATGTATTCTTAATTGAAGTCAACTAAATAGCCTACATTTATAAAATGATTATTTTAGTTGAGGCTGCATTTACTTGTCATGTGAGAATTTTGTTTAATTTGATTTACATCATTCTTGTTCCAAAACCAGTTTCTGATGATTGCATTATGTAAATGCCAAAAATGTTCAATTTCTTAAGTTTATTAAAGTTATAGTAAATTAACATCAGAAACTGAGTAATTTCTTTTTAATTTTAGTATCAAAGAATTGAACAGTGAAGATAGTTATAATAACTGCAAAACTTAAATAAAATGTTAAAAAAGAAAATGGGTACAATTGTATTTATATATATTTTTATATGCAAATAAAATAATATATACTATCTGTTACAACAGAAGGTTTTTGAAATAAAGTAAATTTACTAAAAAGTACAAATTATAGAAATTTGAAAACTTGGTAAATTGAAATTCTCTTTTATTAATAAAGTAATATTATTTATCAAAAATCATATTGATTAGTTGATCTTCAAATACTGGAATATCTTTTACTAAATATATGTGGGATATATTGTATTTACTCAGTTACTGCACAACTGTTTTGTCTTAGAATTCTTTATAAATAATCTTGATTAAAACTTTATAAAATCACAGATTATATGATACTATTTTGTGTTGCTATTTTAAATATTAATGGAAAATTTGTGGCTAGCATTATTTCAATCAGATACTATTTTCTAAAGTTTAGTTTAACTTGATTAGTTATTGGGCTGCAATTTGAAAAAATTATAAGCTTGTACATTCCCACTGTCATCCATCTGTTTGTCTGTCTTTCCTTAATCTTGAGAATGGAGTTAGATAGATGAAAGTCAGGACCAGATATGGAAAGCTTGGCCAGAAGCCCTGATTAACTATATACGAACTTCCAGGTAATGCCAGAAGTCTTGTTATTTCAATTCAAAAATTTTCCCCTGAGAGAAATTAGATGACCAGCATGACTCTCCGTAACAGGAAAAGTATGATGTACTGGGGCAAGACACTACTAATTTGGAGTGGAGAGCATATATTTTAAATTAAATAAATGAAAAATATGATTAAATTTGCAGCCTGGCATTGTGATGATGTCACAATAAATAATTGCTTGTATTTTAATTAGAATGTATCAAAACGATTTTTGTTGTAATTATTCTCTATAATTTTCTTCAAATTATATTTGTCTAAAGCAGTGTTTTCCAATCTGTGGGTGTTTTCCCTAGTGGGGTATGAGACTATTGCAAGGGGGCATGCAGCATTTTTTAATACAAACAAACAAAAAAATCAAATTGATGTTGAAAAAATGAATTAGCAAAATGGCTATGCTTAATTCACAATCTTTGTCTGAATAACTTGGGTATGAATGCTAAAAATCCATCCACGCTCATGCCAAAACATCTCAACAATAGTTGAGCCCTGGCAAACTATATACTTTATTTAATAAGGTATATTGCTTTATAGGCCATTAAATAAATTATAAGGATGGTATTTATGAAATTAGATTGTTAAAAAAATTGAAGAGTATGCAAGAATTTTTTTCTGATAAAGAGGGGTGGAGGTACAGAAAGTTTGAAAACCACTGATCTAAAGAATTTCTTTATTTTAAGGTCTTTCTAAGTTTACCATTATCCATTTTTTTAAGTCAGTGACAATAATGAATAACCAACACTATTTTTGAAACTTTTATACAGAAAATTAAATACATAATAATTTGAAAAGTTTAACTATAATTTTTATATGAGAAATAGTTTTAATTAATTTTGAATTTAAGTTTAACAACTAAATAAATTTAATAATTATTTTAAAATAATTTCACTATCAGTTAAAGAGTGAAGAAATGGATTAAAATTGTATATACAGTATAGATTTATTAATCTGGAACTTATTGATCAGAGGTGACAGATTATTGAAAATGTCAGATTACCACACAATTTTATTTTTTGAAAATTGATAAGTTATATGTGATCTGAACATTGCAGATATTGCTGTACATTTTGTATCAGCATATACTTCTGTAGGCTTCTAGTTGCACTGCAATTTGAAAAAATTATAGATCTATAAATTTCCACTTATATTGGGAATGGTGTTAGATAAATGAAATTCAAGACTAGATATGGAAAGCTTAGGGGTAGGAATCCCTGATTAACTATATGCGAACTTCCAATGCAAAGTGGAATTCACATTATTTCTGTTCAAAAATTTTGCCCTGAAAAGAGTTAGTAAGAGCAAATGAATGAAAAATATTATTAAAAATTGCAGTTTGGCATTGTCATGATGTCACAATAAATAATTGCAGGTTTGTTTACGTGTGAGGTTTGCCAATTGGGGAGAAAGTGTCACTACAATCGAGTGGTCAGCACTGTCGCGTGGGAGTGGAAAAACTTATTGAGACAGGTCCTCCATCGCAAACAGTTTATTAAATATAAAAATTTCGTTTACAACTACTGTTTTACTTCGGCGTAAGGCCTATCCGAAGAGTGAATCAGTTCGTAAATAAAGTTCAATTGTTTCGACAATCTTCTCTTCTTCTTGTGAAGATGATGACGAAAACGTAGGCTCTGGAGCACACAGCACAGCTTGAAGGGGTGATTCTCGTAGCAGGTTACACTTGGCAAAACTTGCCAGGACGGGATGGTAAAAACTTCTGAAACATCGACCAAGTTTCCGTTGTTGAACCGCAGGAAAAATCCAGAAGCGGAGCACACCGAACTAAGAACCAAGAACGTCACATCCTTTTTTTGCGTGATTTTTATAAATTTTTTCTGGGTCCCAGATCGAACATTCTGATAGGTCAATGCCGATCTGCCCCTGCTCTCTAATTGGTCCCCCCTCCTCATTACGAATTGTAACGAGATTGGAGCCCAGATCGTGGGGTGAGTCAACTCTGACTGACAATTTGATTCCTATCGAAGATGTTCGATCTAAGCACTCAAATTCATCTATTGTTTCATTCTGAGAAATTTGTTTTTTCTTAGAAATTTCTACAGACATGTCCTTATATGGACATAAAATATTCATTTTTCATTTGATGGTTTCTTTTTACAACATAAAATAATAATAGTTATTATGTATTAATTTTTTTATACAAAATTAAGAACATTTTCTGTGCATGAATTTCGACCCATTTCTGCAGCTTCACATACTCATGCTCTACAATTAGTCTGAAGATGATACAGTGTGATTGTACTATGTTAAGATTGTTCTGTGATTGTTGCATAAACAGATATTAGGATAGCACCAATAAAACTGTTCAATTTTACACAAAGTGCAGTAACAAATGATTTGAGTTTTTTTTTAATATATATATATATATATCGACTGCTCAGAGCAAGAGGGTTACAACTCAAAATTTTCGATGTTTTAGTTATTGTACTTATGGGAATGCTTGTATCGAGTTCTATCTTATGTATAAAGGTTATATCTCTAAATGGCTTATTATGGCTCTGGGACGTACATATAACAGTTTTGCAATATGCTAATACACTCTGTTATTGAATTCAAGAGGGTTACATTTTGAGTTGTAACAGTTTTCAGCTTTCAATTAATTGCATTCTTGGTGAAAGAAAGTTGCATATAAAGTTGCAACTCTTTTGCATTCTAAATCTATCTATCTATATAACCCAAAGACCACTGATGGAATAATAGAAGATGACTTCCGGGGAAAACATGAAAGCAGAAAGAAAACTGATGAGGAAATACTGAAGAATGTGAAAGAACACATACTGTCTTTTGAACGTGTTGAATCACACTATTGTAGAAGAAATTCAACCAAACAGTATTTAGATGGCAGCTTAAACATTAGTGAAATGTATCGGCTATACACAGACTATTGCAGAGAAAAAGAATTACCACTTGCTAAAAAACACATTTACTCAACGGTATTTCATTCACTTAATCTTTCATTTCATCAGCCGAAAAAAGATCAGTGTTGTATATGTACTGGATATAAGAACAGTACAGATACAGAGAAATTACAATTGCAGGACAATTATAACACACATATAAAAGAAAAAGAAATGTCAAGAGCTGAAAAGACTAAGGACATTGAAGCAGCAAAACAGGATACAAATAAAATTGCTTGCTGCTTTGATCTCCAAGCAGTTCTCCCTTCACCTTGTGGTGAGTGCTCTTCCTTATACTACAAAAGGAAACTCTCATGTTACAACTTTACAATTTATGATATTTCAAACAGTAAGGGCCACTGTTATTTTTGGCATGAAGGCTTGGCCAAACGAGGTTCAAATGAAATTGGAACATGCCTCTATAAGTTCATTACTTCATTGCCCAATACAGTTAATGAAGTAGTTTTGTTTTCAGATAATTGTGCAGGGCAGAACAAGAATAAATTCATTGCTTCATTACTTTTATACTGTGTAAATAATATAGACCATATTAACACTATTACTCACAAATTTCTCATTCAAGGGCACACACAGAATGAGAATGATTCAATGCATTCCACCATTGAGCGTGAAAAACGAAGAGTTGTTAAAGGTGGGACAATAACACTACCTGCTCAATGGGTACCAGTACTGAAATTAGCCAAGAAAAAAGGCAGCGTTTATAATGTGACTGAACTAGATACAGCAGATATCTTCAATTTGAAAGACTTATCACAACAAATGGGAAACAATTTCTCCAAAAATGAAAATAATAATTTAGTGAATTGGCCCAATATTAAGATCATTAAGGTCATGAAACAAGATCCTTATACCATCTTCTACAAGCACTCATATGCGCAAGAGGATTTTGAAAAGTTAAACATTCGACAAAGAATGAGAGGTAGATCTGCCAAAGTCATGCTGCACCCAGCTTATTCTTCACCACCAGGGATAGATGCTGGAAAGAAGAAAGATTTGCTGGACTTGTGTAAAAGTGGTGTCATTCCAAGCATGCATGCATCATTTTATAATTCTCTGAAAGTTTCCAGTAGTGTTGAAAAAGACTGATCTCTAATTTGCTTGATAAAACCATAGCACAATTAGTGATACTTTTTTAATGGCTGTGTTAATTTTTTGTGAACTTTCTTACTTTTGTTTTTATTGTTTGTCATGTTTGAACAACATGGGTCTCATAAAACCAGAATGTAACATTACATTTTTCTGTTCTGTTAAAATAAATACTGTAACTTTATATAAAATGTATATTATTATGTAATGGCAAACAGCTGTTCTAAGTAAAAAAGAATGGCAAACAGTTGTAACTGAGAAAACAATAATGACATTTTGAATGCAAAACTGTTGCAACTCAAAAAATATGTAATAATATAACAGAGAAAATACATTTAAATAATATTATTATTCCAACTCAATGTAATG